GGAAAGAGTTAGACACTTGAGGAGCAGCTCACAAATTCTTGATTTCAACTCGAAACCTTTGTCAAGACTGTAAAGGAAGATGTCTACTGCATCGTCCAGCCTTCCTTGTGCACAAAGACCTTTGATCAAATGTACACAACATGTAGGATTGATATTTATATTGAACTTATGAAGAACAGAAAACATAATTAATGCTTCATCTACTTTTCCTGCCTGACAAAATCCAATAAGTAGAATTGTATACGGAGCTAAATTAAAATCTTTAAACCTGAAGTCCAGTGCTAGTAAACCTCGAATTGCCTGTTCCAGTTCTCCTTTGATAAAATATTCTTCCAAAGCATTGATTGAAACTTCTTCCCGGCCACGAATGTTCTTCAAACATTCAAAATAAAGACTGAAGGCCTGTGCAACCTTACTCTTTCTAGACAACCAAGTCATTAGAGATCTATAAACTTCAAAGCTAGGTTCACACCCATGCTTCAACATGTGCTCATGAATCTTAAAGGCATCCTCTTCTCTGTCAACCCTGAAAAGCCCATCAATAAGTGTCCCATAAGTAATGGAGTCAGCTGAGAGTCCCTTGTTTTGCATATCCTTGAAAAGCTTTAAAGCACCATTGATCTTAGAAGCCTTGCAAAAGCCATTGATTATAACGTTGTATGTTACTACGTCAGGCATAACCCCGCTATCAGCAAGTTTTATGAGAAGCTTGTATGCATCCAAAATTTGTCCAGCCTCACACATTTGCTCCACCTTTTTCTGGAGACCAATACTATTGAGAACCTGATCAGAACCCTGAGAAAGACGGAAGAATAAAGAAGGACTTCTTCCAATCTCCATCTTGTAAAGTAAAAGGTGTGCCTCCTCAAGCTTGCCAGATTTGCACAGTCCATTTATAAGAGCATTGAAGGTGACAACTGATGGTAAACATCCAAGCTTCTCCATCCGATTAAATATTTTATGTGCCTCACCAACCATTCCTTTGTTACACAAGTCACAGATAAGAATCGTATGCGTGCAAGCATTTTGAAACCCTTCATGCTCAGAAATCTCAAGTTGGAGAGACCGTGCTCGATCCAAAAGACCAACCTCACAGAGACCTTTAATAACTTCATTGTAACAAACAGCATCAGGAACTAAGCCTCTCTCAGTCATCTCACCCAACAGCTTGACAGCTTCACCAACCCTCCCCTCACTCGACAAACCGCGTATCATAATGGTGTACAAAATAACATCCGGCTCAATACCCTTCTTAAGCATCTTCCCATACCACGAATGCCCTTCATTATATCTCCTCGCCTTAAAAAACGCAGCAATCAGAGAACTATAGCCCTTTAGTCCAGTTTCAAGCCCATCTTTCTCCAACAACCGCAGAATTGAAATTGCTTCATCTAACTTCCCCAACTTGCAATAACCATTAATCAAAACATTATAAGATATAAAAGTAGGTTGGCACCCTCTTTCTTTCATCACATTAAACAACCTTTGTGCCTCATCCACCCTCTTCCCATGACACAGACCGGAACAAATAGCAGTAAAAGTCACTTCACTGGGCACCATACCCCTCTGCCCCATTTCATCGAGCATCTCGAGAGCACCCTTAACATTATCACTTTTACAAAACCCATCAATCAATATATTATAAGTATACTCATTGGGATCACAATTGGACTTGAGCATCAAATTATAAACCGCAAGGGCCAGCAAAAACAAGTCTTTCTTCAATGCAATGTTCAAAATGGTGTTGTAGGCATGAGCATCGGGCTTACAACCCAACTCGCTCATTCTACCGAACGACTCTATGGCCTTCTCAGCGAGACCCTCTTGCCAATAGGCCCTGATCAGGGCTCTAACCGAATCAGAAGTTATCAAAACCCCAGATTTGTGGAGAAGCTCGAGACTTTCCCAGTAGAGGGTGAACCAGTTGTTGGTGCAGAGGACTACACCGACCAAGTTGCAATAATCGTGGGTGGAGAGGGATTCGAACTTGAGCGCGACCCAGATGCAGAAACGAAGAGGAAGTTGAGGGTTCGAAGAGAGGGGTTGTTCGGAGAATGTTCGGAGGTGCGTGGGAGGCTTATGGGTTCGCCGGAATGCGGAGGAGATCTTCGCGGCTTTCGTGAACTTGGAGAAGGCCAACATTGGAGGCCTATTTCCGCTGCATCAGATTCGAATCGGTGGCTCAGTGCGGTGAGTCGCTGTAAGCAAAACCTTTGGTTGCGTTGGATCCTAGAGGGGGTAGGGTTTAAGGAATTTAATTTTGTTTCTCCTATTTCCCTCTAGCTTATAAATTGGTTTAATTTTATTTTTTTAAAATATGAATTTGTTTATTTAAAATTGGATCGGGTTTGATATAATGTAATTATTCATTTTTTATTTATATATAGAAAAAATATACTAAATTAAATTAATCTACTTTATAAAAATGAATCATATAATTAAATTAGTTATATAAAATAGATTAATTCAAAGTTTTTATAAAATAGATCAAATTTTTCAATACAGACTAGATTTCGTTATAAATCGGTTCGGATTAATTTTTTTTACACATCCTTACCAATCTTTTACTGGCTATGGCCGGGCACTATTTTGAATACAATCTAAAACCATCACATTGACTTCCTTCCTATATTTATGAGGAACCTTACAACCATCGAATATGAGACTATTTAGCTAACATTGTGTTTGGGACGAGAAATAGCCAATAAATCCAAGAGAGGTAAAAAATGGTTCATTTTTTTATTTCTAAAAAAGTGAAATAGGAAGTTGATGGCCTTGTTAGAAAATATTTTCAATCCGACTAGAATGAAAACAGCGAAGAAATAAATGTTCACCATTAAATTTATTTTTCAATAACAAATGGTTCACTTGAAACATCTTTCTATTGAGGATATAGATACGGTCAGTATCATTCTTCTATTAAAATAAAATTTTCATTTTATGATATATATGTTAGTATTTTATAATAAAAAATTATTTATAAACATAATTTATGAAATATTTCAAAACATTTTTAGAATAGGACTTTTGTTGGTCAAAACAATCAAACTTTCAAATACTAAATTGAAAATTTTTATATAAAAGTATTCAACAACACTATATAATAATGAAATAAACTTTTATCCTTTAATCAATTAAAAGCAAACTTTAAAGATAAAAAAAATATATTTGTATTCTTATTTTTTATTTTTATTGTTAACCTTTTATTATCACATTTATCTTTTTTTATCGTCAAATAATCAATAAATAATAAAAATTTTAAAATTAAATCAATCATTTAAAAAATAATTATTTAAAGTTCAATAATTCAATTGTAGTCAAATTCATATTAATAAATTAATAATTATTAAATAAAATATAAATAATATTAAAATCATAATATCACAACTTTATAAGACAAATTTAAAAAAAAACATAAATTTTATGTATTCTTAACATTTAATTCTTAACATTTAAAGCATATAAACATGTTAAAATTAAGTTTAATCTAAATTTTAATAATACATATTAAAATTTATTAATAATAACAAATTTATATTTAGAGTGATAAAGAAAATGACTAGTAATTTAGGTTTTTTTAAAGAAAAAATTAAAATAATGTTGTTTAAAAAAAATAGTTGACCCGCTAAAAATCAATTTTTTTTCCGGCTCTCCGATTCTTAATTTGAACATTTTTTTTTTGCTACACTGATTCTTTTTGCATATCTTGAATTCGTATTGAGAAACGTCTTATTTAAAAAAAATGTTAATATTTTTAATTTATTAAGAATGATTTTAAAATTTGAAATTAAAAAAATTCTATTATTAGGAATTATTATACACAATGATGTACATATCACAACCACAAATAATATCCAAATTCACTTTCACCTATATAAATTTTAATCCATCAGTAATATTTGTGACATTTGTCCAACATTTCGAAATATTGAACAATGCTAACATGTTTTTTTAACCCATTCTTTTTTAATCAATGATAAAAAAAAATTGTATTCAAAACATGTTCAAGATTAAATATAAGTGTGAATATTTTTTATTATATTGGTATATTCCAAATAAAATTAACAACAAATTGAAAGTATATTAAATATCACAATAAAACATATCTTAGTTTAATCCAGTGATTATAAAGCCTGTTATGGAACACAAGGAGCTAAGGGCTCCCTTCACACATTAATCCTTAATTAGTTGTCAGCTTTTGCCATTGGTTTTCATAAAAATAATTTCAAATTTAACGTAATAATTAATATATTCAACTTTATCCTAAAAATTAAGTGTGCGTCACACGTAATAAACAATTTTGTGACATTAGAGACTGTCGAGACAAACAATATCAAGAAAAGTGCATGGCCATCATTTTTGAGGTAAAAAGAACACAAAAAGCGAGCATCGCAATACCAAGAGTATTTTAGCAAAGTTCCAAACGTGATGTTCATTATTAATTAGCTTTTGGAACTTAAATTACCCTTTCTTTCTCTTTTGCTTGTAAATGCAACAACAAGAAACATGTATCCACCCAATCCACATCGATTTGCATTTTCACTAAACTTTCCAAACAATAACCACACCCAACATCCCTATTATATGTGAATGCAAACGATCAATGCAACTTTCTTTATTTTCGCTTTTCCAATTATCTTTCGGTTCCATTTTCATTTTCATTCATATTTCCATTTCCATTTGCTAACCATTGAGTTCCTCCGTACCATAAACTTCCATGACCCATAATTGTAGATTTGATACTATCATTTGATCCAAAAGCTTTTTTCCCAGTTCGTTGGATATCACGTGCACACCTATTTAGTTTCACTCCCTTATGTATTTTTTCTTAACATGCTTCTGACTAAAGTTATCATCTTGTTTTTTCTGGGTTTGGGTTGAATATATGCTTCATTATGTTTTGTGATTTCATTTTTTTTTTTATGTTTTGATTTGCTCAGAGCAACGAAGGAAAAGATGGGTGAGGGAGAGAAATTTCAGTTGGGGACGGTTGGGGCGTTGAGTCTCTCTGTGGTTTCGTCGGTGTCAATTGTGATATGTAATAAGGCACTAATGAGCACGCTGCGCTTCATTTTCGGTAAACTCTTAATAGGTTTGGTTGTTTAATTGCTATGTTGTTCAGAAATGACAACTTTTTTGTGTCTCTTTTTTTTTTCTTCCATGTATGTGTTTTTGTTTTGTATACGTGCTTACATTTAGTCACACGTGGGGAGCCAAGTTATGCATAATTATGCATTACCATATAGATTTCATTATATAACTTAAAGAAGCACCAAAATATGTTATTAATGTCCTGCCATAAGACTGCATTTTGGTTCTTCAAGTTATTATGTATTGTTTCACGTTCATTACTAGCTAGACTAAATTATTTTGATGCTAAGTTCAAAATTGTAATTTAATGCCATGTTTTCGATCGTATCCTATATTTTGCACACTACATGTGTTAGTGCCCAGTGTGCTCCGTGATTACCACCCCCTTTTGCAATTTAAAATTTTTATTATTTTAATCAAGGATTTTTCTTATGATGTTAATTAAATGTGATCGTCTTATGTGAATAAGGATCTGGTTTGATATGATTTTTTCATTTCATATTTAAAAATAATTATATAAATTTGTTATCTTATTTTCAAATTATTGTACAGAAGATAGTAAAAACAACAAAAAAATTATTTTCACTATTTCCTGTACAAATATTTTAAAAAATATATATATATAATGAAAGTTAAGATTGTATTATTGTAATTATTTGTTAAAATAAAAAAATATATATTTTCTCAAACTAAAGAGACCTTAAGATAATGATATCTTGAGAAGACATCTAAGGAGTTTTGACTTGTCGCTTAGATCTCCATGCATGATTTTTTGTTCCTTTAATTCTTTGCAATTTTAGCCTGCCATTTTACATTTGAAGTTTAATGTCTTAAAGTTTTGATATATACCTTGGATTCCCACGCAGCTACAACTTTGACAAGTTGGCATCTGCTTGTAACATTTTGTTCGCTTCATGTGGCATTAAAAATGAGATTTTTTGAGCACAAACCTTTTGATCAGAAAGCTGTAATGGGGTTTGGAATTCTAAATGGAATCTCGATTGGACTTTTAAATTTGAGCCTAGGCTTCAATTCTGTTGGCTTCTATCAGGTTATTTTTTTTCCTCCCAATTATGTCATTCTCATGTGATATTTTGATTTTATTTTTTTGTTTAAACAAATTTTCAAGATTTTCTGAACAAACATTGTTATATTTGTATTCAGATGACTAAGTTGGCAATCATCCCGTGTACTATTCTGTTGGAGATCCTTTTTCTTGGGAAAAAATTCAGGTTCTGTTTAGTTTCTTATCATTAATGTGGCATTTTTTATTTATTTATCTCTTTATACTTTATACATGTCTAGTAATTTATGTAAGTTCCATTAAAGAGTTGTGGCATTTTATCTTTTCTTTTAAGCAATTAGATCCATTTAAAGTAATTTCTACTAGATTTTTACTCATCATGTGATCGTCAACATGTCTTGTGTCTTTTTTTCCCTTCTAGCAATATTTTTTAAGGCATCTATGTGGCGTTGTTATTTTGACCTACACTATCATTATTGTGATCTTTGTCTAGTAGTCCATTTCTTTTCTATTCAACATGACAGTGCCTCAGTTTGACATTGTGGGATAAAGGGTTTTTTGTTATTGCTGCTATATGACATCGCTTAGTAGTTTGAAAATTTTTGAATTGTATTAACTATTTTGTCATTGTTTTCATTGCAGTAAAAGAATACAGTTATCCCTTGCCATCCTCCTTCTAGGTGTTGGAATTGCAACAGTCACTGATTTGCAGCTCAATGCTTTAGGCTCTTTCTTATCTTTGCTAGCTGTGATTACAACATGTGTTGCTCAGATTGTATCCTTAAAGAAAGTTCCACTTTTGTTAGATGTTCAAATTTTTAATGCAACTATGAAATATTTTTCCAAAATCAAAACAAAAAATGTATCGTGATTTAACTTATTTTTAGCATGTTGAAATTGATTTTCATGATAATTATGTTCTTACTTGCTGATGAATAAAAATATGACATAAACCCATACTCTTAACCCTATAAAATTTTTCTTCATCATAATCATGGCAGTAACTACATAACAAAAAAATGTCAATCTGAAGTTCATTTTGCATATGAAAATTATAGATGTCTTTTGAGTTAATGCAACTCATATTTTAATAATTTCTCTCTGTGTCTCTCTCTCTATATATATATAAATTTGCAAGTCTTCGCATGCATGCAACGTGACTTGTGATTTCACTTGATGCAAATGGCATACCATTCATTTCATTTTAATGTAACTTAGTAAAAATGTATCATTATTTTGTGCATGACTGCTCGAGAAAAGGTGGCCCCTTTTATTTGTTGGATGGTATGGCATTTACATGTTTTTATCTTGTTAAAATCTTAATTAGTCTCTTTCAGATGACAAATACCATTCAGAAGAAGTTTAAGGTTTCTTCTACCCAACTTTTGTATCAGTCATGTCCATATCAATCAGCTACCTTGTTAATCTCTGGACCATATTTGGATAAACTTCTGACCAACCTAAATGTTTTTGCTTTCAACTACACAACACAAGTGCTGGTGAGGTTCAAAATGACTCGTGTGTTTATTTTTTAATTCAAACCCCTTTTTATTTATTTATTGATGTATTTTAAACTGTTAATTATTTTTTGCATTGCAGACTGTAATTATTCTTTCGTGTTTGATCTCTATCGCTGTGAATTTTAGTACATTTCTTGTAATTGGAAAAACATCTCCAGTCACCTATCAAGTTCTTGGACATCTAAAGACATGTCTTGTTTTGGCTTTTGGATATATTATTGTCCATGACCCTTTCAGCTGGAGAAACATATTGGGAATTTTGGTAGCCATGGTTGGGATGATTCTATATTCCTACTCTTGTGTTCTTGAGGGTCAACAAAAAGCAATTGAAACTGCCCCACAAGTATCACAGGTGTGTTTTATTTAAGATAAAACTTAACTGCAGTGTCTTAAATATAATTGGTATTGTTCTCTAATTTAATTTGGAATTATACCTTGATATTATGCATAAATAATTAAATATATATTAATGAGATTTACATTGATATTATGCATAAATAATTAAATATATTAATGAAATTTACATTAAATACAAGTATATAATAAAAAAAAACTTTAATTCTAACTCCAACTGTACTTAAAAAATTATAAATATATTGACAAAATTTAGATATAACTTATTAGATGTAATTGATGTTATTTTTTAATTAAAATTAAAATTTTACCTTAATATTATATAAAAATATATATTAACGAGACTTATTAAATGAATGCATTAATTAGAGAATGACATTAATTATAATGTATTAATTAGAGAATGAGATTAATTACAATGCATTAATTAGAGAATGACATTAGTCACATTTTAAAAATTGGATTTAAATTTTATCGGTTTATTTTTTCCATTTTTTATTTATAGTTGATTTGATGTTATTTTTTTTTTCTGTTTTTATTATCACTTTTTTAAAATCAATAATTTATTAATTTTCTTTTTTATTTTTATCTTTGATAATTAATGTATGTTTAGTGAACAATGTGTTTATTCATTTTTCTGTGTATTTATTTCTTCTCCAACTACCTAAAAAATATATTAAAAAAATTAAATAATAAATACTTTAAAAAATTAAAATATCAATCATTTTCCTAATTCTTGTGCATAATATTAAACGTAAAAAATATAAAATGGAGGGAGTATTTATTAGTTAGATTGCATTGTGTGTGTGTGTTTTTTATGGATCATGAACAACAATAACCCACATTATGACTCCTTGTTATTCCTATTATTTCTATAGGCAAGAGAAGGTGAATCCGAGACTCTCATCAACGTGGATAATGGAAATACAATCTTGAGCAAAAGGCCCCCAGTGTGGAGCAAAGAAAAAGACTAGCACTTGATAAGCTTTTCAAAATCATCATTAAGAACATTGTACAGGCCTATAGAAAAATTATATATACCCTTAATTGGGAACTTTCTTAGACGCCACTCTTAATTACTTACAAGTTTGAATTGTTTCACTCAGTATTATTAGCTTAGCATTTGATATATAGCTAACCAACAATGTTGTCGGAGGGGAGGGGAACACGGTTGTGTCTAAGTTATTGGCCAATATAGATATGGTTCACTTAGCAAATACTGATTAAATATCTTCTTATCATGTTACATATATATATATATAAATATTTTAATTTTTTGTATCCTTGAATAAGCTTATAATCATCTAATGACATTCTTAGTTGAATTATTGGAAGATCACACACAATACGAATTGTGTATTTTCAATCTCACGTTATTAACAAAATACTGTCAACTGAAAAAACCTACGCACTCAGTCGTTAATATTTTATTGAGGAATAATTGGGGATTGGAAAAGGGCATAGGGAATTTAATCTCTAATTGGAGTTTCTTATCGATCTTTTTTTCCATTCCCTAAGTTATAATTGTGTAATATAATTAGACTCAGCTTTTATGGCTTCTCTGGAATCACAAAAATGCCACGTGTCACTGGTGTTGCTATAGCCCATAGCGACACCGTTATAAACTGCCCCAAAGGCGTAAATACTTTCAAAAGAACCCCATTTACGTAAAAAACTTTCCAAACAACTCCACTTTGATCAAAAAGCCGAGTTTGACCGGTTGAAGGAACAGAACACTGTCACTTGAGACGAATCAAAAACATCATTCCAAGTCAAGCATTGGATACGATTCGACACATTTATATCAGTTATTTTTAATTTTTTTCTTTTCAGTATTTACTCGTTATTCAATCGTTTAAATTAACCATAAAATCTTTAGTGAATTAATGAATCGAACAAAATAGTAAAAGTTTGCAAAATGAATTTAGCATGTGATAAATACAAAAATAGTATACTTACTTACGGATAAGAAATTAAGAATCTCTCATGTAATACTCCTCATCCTTACTTTTCTGTCTCTTATTACGTGTCACTGCCATAAAGTTTTTTGCATAACCAAATGGATATATGTCTCTAAAATTTGTGTTGTTGTTGAATCCAAATAACACTGATTGAGACATGCAAATTACTTACTATTCAATGAGAATGTAGCAGTGATTTAGATTGGTTTATGCTTTGGTATCATTTTGATCATATCCCAATTCCGTCCTTAATTCAACCAAGTGATTTGTTAGTTTCTTCCATCTAAATTTATATTTATTTTGATTACTGATTGAGTGGGGGATAAAAGGGTACATTTTAAATTGTTAATCATTTTATTTTATTTTATTATTAGGCTTGGATAATATCATGTTTCTATTGTCAAATATGTTTGAATATAATATTGGGCTCTAGATGCTTCTCTTTGTGTGATGGGAGCCACAAACAAATAATAAGAAGAAGAAATTACATTTTGAGTAAGATATTTTTCATCCAACGACACCTTTGCAACTTTCTTATAAAATATGGACATTTCAAATAGACAGGCGATTCTATTATGTTAGGCTGTTCCTCTGGTTTATCCCGTGAAAAGGGAAAAAGAATGACAAGAAGAAAAAAAAAACACTAGGAGTTGTAATAAATAAATAAAAATCTCTTTGGGATGGATTAATTACATTTTGTAATTAGTAATTACCAAAATTATGTTTGATGTCCTTTTTCATTTTTTTTAACTATATTAATTGTGTAAAGTATTTTTAAAAAAATACTAATCCTTATTATAAATAAAAAAAATCGGTAAAACAACTCATTCTATTAACAGAAGATAGGTTGAAAATTATAATTCACCCCATTTAGAATTAGGTTGTCAAGTTTATGGTTGACACGTAACATGAGATAAAAAAATTAAGTTGATCAATTATGTAATGAGGAGTTAACAAGTTCATCAATCAAAATCTTAAAAAAATAAAATAAAATAAAAATAAAAAATTACTAAAATTAATATTACTTTTGTTTTTAGCACACCAGTGATTTTATTTTATAAACATGTATATATTATGTCTCTTTACATTATATATAAATATATTTATTTATACATATCAGATATTGGTAGATTAAGAGTGAATTAGAAATAAATTAAATGAGCTAATATGTTAATCTTTTAACCTATCGAGTTAGTGAGATAAATTAGTGCGTTGAATTATTTAATTCAATCCTATCATTTTGTCAAGGCAAATAATTTAATCGGTGAAATTTATATATATATATATATATATATATATATATATATATATATATGTTGAATAGAAATTACGGATGTTAGATAATTTAATAAAGGACTTTATTTAGAAGAGAAAGATGATATTAGATTGTTTTTATACTAATGGTATTCGTGTACTACTAGAATTTATTTTATTATCTGTGACTTTTTATGTAAATTGTACATAAAATTTTGCAGGAAACATGATTTTTATAAAAATTTTCATGAACTTTCATGTTCAGGTAATATTTTGGTGGATAATATATATTTTTGTGAATTTTAAAATTCTTAAGAAATTTTCCTGTGGAGTTTCTTGTAAAAAAATTCATAGAAAAGTTTTTTATGAATTTTTTCGTAAGAAATTTTGTAAAAAAATTTTTTTTGAAAAAAATAAAAGAAATTATTACAGAAAGTTTCTAATAAATTTATAATTCAAAAGTAATTTTTTTTTGAATTTTTTTGCTAAATTTATTACAAATTTTAAATTTACAATAAATTCTATCATAATTGTGAATATATAGGTTATACGTCTAACTCAACCTACAATATTAACTTGCAAGGTGAGTGTTGTCTTTAGTTATATTCTCTTGAATTGTTTTATTTTTAATCAATGTGAGACTTAAGATTTTCTTTAAAAATGAATTAGAATATGTCCTTAGAAATAAAATTAATTCAATCATATTAAACTACAAAATTATATTATTATAAATTATATTAACTATTAAAATATTTAATATTATAAAAAATAGCTTTTTATTAAATAATTTTATTTTAAAAACTATAATTAAATTAAAACTCATTATCATTAATTTATACAATTAATTAAAATAAATATTTAATTTATTAATATTTTAATTTAAAATTAATTTAATGAAATATTTATAAATAATTTATAATGAAATATTTATAAATAATTTAGTATAATAATATTTTTAATTAAAAATTTTAATTATTAAACTTATACATTTAAATATATATTTTTATTTTTCTTGTAAATTAAAATTGGCAGAAAAATTCACAAGAAAAATTACCTGCGAATATTTTTTACCATTTATTATAATACTAATAAATATTACCTGTAAATTTATTTTCGCAATGAAATCCGTAAGAAACAAAATAAAATTCTTACCACATTTTTCGTGAAGTTTTACCATGAAAAAAAATATTTATGATCATCAAAATTATAACAAAATTTACAAAAATTTCTTGTAGATAATTTTTCATAAAAAAAATTATAACAAATTTTAAAAAATTATTTTTTGCAAATAAATTCGTAAAAAGTTTTTGTAGATTTATTATTGCAAAAAAATCTATAAAAAATTATTGCGAACTATTTTTTTTGTAGAAAAATTACATTTTTCTAGTAGTGGTAAAATGTTAGTCGGATACTAATCTTCATAGAGAAGATTTGGACTTCTTTTCTTCCAACAAATTTTTTTTACCATATACATGGCCAAAAAAATTAAATTTCTATCAATATATGCTTAAGGTGTAATTCTTTATTAGTATCTTTATATTACCCTTAGAATATTTTAATTGTTTATAATTATTTTTATTTTAATTAGTTATAATAATTAGTATTAATTTACTTTTTAGATCTTGTTAGTATATTTATATCTTCTTTATTAATATTTTAACCTTGTAGTAATTGTCTATTATTTATAATAATTATTATTTCATTAGTTATGACATTTATAGTATTATGTTACTTTTATTTAATTTTAATATTTTTATGAGTATCTTTATATTATCTTTATTATTATTTTAATTATATAATAATTTATAATTATTAATAAATAAAATATATTGTTTTAGTGTCTAGTTTTTTCTTTTTGCTCTTTTACCTTTTAATTCTCATTAACAACTATTTCACAATTTCTTTTTATATCATGATAAGTAGAGTCGTAAAAGTGGGTAGTACAGTTCGGTCCAACTCATTAAATTAAAATAAATAAATTATTGAAATTTATAAAAACATATATTATAATTTTATATTTTAGAATTGTGACTATGTTAACAAACAGACAAATAAAATGTATTAAAAAAAAAGAAGATAAAATTATCTACAACCAAATTAATCAACTTATAAAATCAAAGTTGTTGTATAAAATATTGATAAATGTTAAATTGACACTAATTATCATAATTCACAAATAATATGTACAAATTTTATTCAATGGTATAAATGTATAATCACATAAATTAATATTGAGAACCTAAAAAATAAAATAAAAAATATAAAAATATATTAGGTAAACTAGCTCGTGAGCCAATTCGACTCACAACGAATTAGCTCATGGTAAGTCATATTATAGTTGAACTAAACTATTTTTTATATAATTGAAATATGTCAAAATTTTCTAATCTAATCTGACTCAAACTTGTGATGAGTCGAATTAGCTCACGAGTTTTGATCCATATATTGGTTTCACTAAAAATTAGTATTTTTCAAATTTTAATTTTATTAAAACTATCTCTTGTATGATTTCTTTTTTGTTGATTTACAACCACTTCATTATTATAAAGTTAATTGCTTTTTCTTTTCTTTTTCTTACTTTTTAAAAGCAATAGTGAGGCAAGGAATCCCATCAATAATAATTTTAAATATTTACGTAATTATAATTTTATTTTACTTATTTTTATATCTTATTAGTGTTGATTATATTATTATTATTATTATTATTTTCATTTTTAATCTTGTAAAATTATTTATAATAATTGACCAATTATATATATTATTTATAAGATTTTAATTATTTATTTAGTCTTATAATTTCATAAATTTTACCTTTGAATTTTTATAGTGAAAATGTTTCATTTTTGTAACACTGTGCTTTCTTAATTATGTTTATTGTGATAAATGTAATTAAGTAATATATTTTGTGTTGTTCTCTTGTTTGTAACTTTTATGAGGAGAAAGTTAGAGTTATGATAATTCTAAACTTAAGTTATAAAAATATATAATTTAAGTGTATGAGAATTGGCTTTGGAATGATTATATGTGACGAATGATGAGAAATGAACTTCATAAATCCATAACTTTAAATTTTTAAAAAGAAGTTAGAGAAAAATGTTTTAGGACAAACGATCAAAGATTTCTTTTCTTCCCTTAATCGTTAGTTAGTATGGTAGAAACTCAAATACAAGTTGATGGGTTGAAAATCTTATTAAAAAATTAATCATTTTTTTCTTTATATAAATTTATGGGGTGTATTGGATTGAGATTTTAAAGAATTCTTTTAGTTGAAAAAAGTTTCATGAATTTTAAAAGATTTTGCAGGATTTTCATGACTTTTAAAATTTTGTAGGATTCCGCGAGATTTTCAATATGAATTTTAATGGATTTTGCGGGACTTTGTGAAATTTGCATAATTTCGTAAATTTCTGACATACAATAAGAATTCAATTTTTTTTCTTCATACATTCAAATTTAAAAAAAGTCAAAGACAAAAATAATAAAAAAAATAAAAATGTCTGGATAAATAATAATAATAACTCTCCGTAATATCATATCCTTTTAAATAACATTCATCCATATATTCATAACTATATTAGTCCTCCAAACATTAACATCTTTTCGCTCTTGCTTCTAGATTTTAATAATAGGCTCAAAATTACGATTTTCATTAACTAGTAATGTTGAAGATGAAAGTACATCCATCACTCCAATTAGAAATTCATCAAAATGACATTTTTTACAAATAAAGTTATGTACTACTGCACATGTTAAAAATTATTTTAAACAACATTTTAAATTTTTTTATAATTTGTGATTTAAAATATTTTATTTATAAATGTATAAATAATTAAAAATAGTGGGACAACTACCCTACAACTAAATATTTCCCTTCATTTTATATTGATACTGAAATAGAAATTTACAAACATCAACTAGGAGAAAAAAATCTTAAATTTGTTATAGGTATAAAATAATTTTTTTAATTACTTTCAATTATTCATTTGTAAAGAAATATTTTTAGTATTAAATTATAAAATACTACAATATTTCATGTTAATTTTATTTTTTAAAATATAAAAAATCTCAATTTCACAATATAAAAATTTAAAAAATAAAATTTATAGTAAATAAATAAATAAAATAATTATTGAGTCATAAAAGGGAAGGATAACAGTAACAAATTCAAGAGAGATCACAATTTTTGTGCGGAATGAAATGAGAACAGTAATACAGTATTATATATGAACACTAGTGCAGTATTATTAGCAAAAGAAAAAAATGGAGAAAGCATGAACATAGAAAAAAAAAGATGAAAAACTCACTTTAAAATTTTTGAAGCACTTGAAAAGTCACTTCAAACAATTCTCCAAAATCTGATGGGTATGGATGAGATTGTTTTATGAATTTGGTATTTATAGATATCAGTAAAAAGTTCTTCAAGATCCTTCTAATATAACAATCCTTTAAAATTCATATATTTTTTAATACCAATGAATTGTTTTAAGTTGTAAGAAATATCAAATGAATACCAATAAATTTTAATAGACTCTTTAAAAAATCTTGAAAATCTAAATTAAATACCATTATTTTTAAGTGACATAAAATTCTAATTGAATACCAACGAACTTTTTTTACTCAAAAAATATCTTTTAAAATCCTATAAAATTCTAAATCAATACCCCTTTATACTATCTCATTTTCAATGTATAGGTAACGTAACATTTATTATAGTTTGACATAAATATTACAGTAAAAAAACAACAAATTTAAAATAGTTATAAGTAATAATTAATTATAGATTTTGATCAAATTTATGTATTATTTCTTATTTACAATTATTGATATAAATAGTACACCTCTTACCATAGCTTAATGTGTTCAAATACTAGTGAAAAGATAAATTAAATTTTCATATAGTTATAGATTGCAAAAATCATTATTTTTTTTTTTATCATTAATAATTATTACTGTTAGAAAATCATGAATAGTAATAACAATAATTATTTTCATTAAATTTAGTCCAAAAAAGAGAGTAACCCATAGAGGTAGTGTCCCAACATTTCTGTTGAAAGCCAAGTTGGGTTTGACGGATCTGAAGCCATTAATGTGCATGGCATTTGCCAAACCCCATTTCCATTGATTTAATTGCGTGTTTCTACCAAATCTCCATTGCTTCCTCACTCAGCACTCACCACTGGTTGATGTACTGAGTGATAAATAATAATTGATATTCAGCAAGTATCTTCTGCTGCATCGCAACACTTGATTAATCCTATTCCTTAGTTTCTTAGTTAGGTCCCCTTTCCATTTCACCTTCCTTCTATGCTTGCATTCTCACTCTCTTAATACCCTAAACCTTTGAATCGATCTAAATCTCTCCCAAATCGCAAACCCCTTTTGCCCAATCCTCTCAATTTTCTCCCTAACTTTCCGCTGTCGGCTCGCGGGTTGGTAAAGTTTCTTCTTTTGTCTTCTGGGTATGGCCGAATCGAATCTGTTGTTGTAATTCGTGTGTTGTCTTATTCATCTTCTGATGTTTTCAATTTGGGAATGCCCCTTTTTGTTCTGTTTTGCTTTGGGTTTTCAGATTTTGACAGAGATGGGGGAGGGAGAACGTTTTCAGCTGGGGACGGTGGGCGCGTTGACTCTTTCTGTGGTCTCATCCGTGTCGATCGTAATTTGCAACAAGGCGTTGATGAGTTCACTGCATTTCATTTTTGGTAACTTCCCCCATTTGATTGTTGCAACTTCATGCTCTTTTTTTGTCTCTTGTTTGTATTTCTCTTGCATTTTTACTACCTATTTGTTCTATCTGTGTTTGTGTGTGTGATTTCATTTGTGCCATTAGAATTTAAAGTTTTTAACCATCCGCTCCTCCATTGGATCTTTAGTTGGAACTTGGAAGTTGCTCCACTGTACTTTCTGCTACTCTTTGTGCTGTGTTTTGCTAGTGATCTAGGCTATGTATGTGCTCACATAGGGTGTGCCTGGTTCGTTATGCAGGTGGAGGTTTTGGAATGAAAATTACATTACACTTGCTTGTTTTGACATAAACATGAGAAGGGGGAAATGGAAATGTGTTTCATTTTCCACTCTTGGTTGACACTCATTTCCCACCAACTCAACTGCTTGTAGCCTTGGTAAAACCAGAAGTGTTATTTGGAGATTGGATTTGTTGAGTCTTACATTTACCGTTTGCCTTTATGTTTTGAATTCAGTTTTCTAGATACTGTTCGTGGGAATGTGACATGATCTGTTGGATTGTCGGTATCCCTTCTTTTTATTAATTAAATATTGCCTCTTTGGAAGCATCGATTGTTGTCGTATTCGCCAGGCGTTACCAAGTTAATAATTTAGTTTTCTTTACTGTTTTTCTATAAATCAATTCAACCGCGGATAGTGTGAACAATATATAAGTTGCCTCATAAAAAATATAACCATTTGATTCATTTTTTCTGGAAGTGCCTAAACATTAGATATCTCTTAGCATTATGTGGTTTTTAATTTGCATATTTCCAGTTATATTCACGAAGAAGGTAAATTTATCACCTCTGAAATATGGTGTATGATGATGGTTTGGGTTATTTCCATGCTATATGCAAATTTGAGCTTTCATGTATACATTATAACGTATTGTGCAAGGTTTATAAGTTTTTTAAATTTGTCATTTTTGATATGCAGCTACAACTTTGACCAGCTGGCATCTGCTTGTCACATTTTGTTCCCTTCATGTGGCGCTCAAAATGAGATTCTTTGAGCACAAACCTTTTGAGCAGAAAGCTGTAATGGGATTTGGGATTTTAAATGGGATCTCAATTGGACTTCTAAATTTGAGCCTGGGGTTCAATTCTGTTGGCTTCTATCAGGTATGTTATGATTCTGTTTTTCTCATGTGTTCATTTGATTAATGTTGATTCTGAACATCTGCATGACATTTCTTTTCAGATGACTAAGCTGGCAATCATTCCTTGTACTGTACTGTTGGAGACCATTTTTCTTGGGAAGAGATTCAGGTTCTGTTTAGCTTCTAATCAATACTATGATTTTTTTATGATTGGTTGTTGATATATACTTGGAAGGATAATTATGTTTCTCAATGAAAGAATTGACTGATTTACCAACTTTATTTTTATTTTCTTTTATGCCTTTATCTGTTCTCTCTCTCTCTCTCTCACTCATCATTGTTTTGACCTGAAGTATGATTGTATCTAATTGTCAATCACATTCTACTGTCTGAGCATAGCTGCCTTTAGTAGGTTTTCCACAAACAAAATTAATTGTTCTGTTTTCATTGTTATTGCAGTAAGAGAATTCAATTTGCCCTTAGTATCCTCCTTCTGGGTGTTGGGATTGCTACTGTCACAGATTTGCAGCTCAACGCTTTGGGCTCTTTCTTGTCTCTGCTTGCAGTGATTACAACTTGCATTGCTCAGATTGTATCCTTAAAATAATTCCCATTTTGTATTTACTCCTATAGTTTTTAGCAATACTGAGAGATAAATTTGTGATAGATTGAATTGAGGCATATACACTGGGGGCTAAATTTTGAATTTGTTCCATTGTGGCATAAATTATATGCATCTTTTGTTAACTATACACGATGGTTCTTGAAAATATTATGCTGCTAATTATACAGGAAAAGAAATGTTGTGTTTGCCTTTGGCACTTGAAACAATTATCTTCTGCTCTGAGGTTCTTGGTTCAAGACTTAATCATACACCTAACTTGGTATTTCTCCTGTTTTTTTTGTTTAAAATGTGCAAGGCTTTATATGCAGAGCCTCATTTTGGCCCTCTTCCTCTCTATGCTTGCCTTTGGATAAGTCCATTTTCCTTATCTAGTGACTGTCATTTATGTTATTTGAACATAATTAGGAAAAAATGTAACTTTTGGTTGCACTTGAATGCTTTACAAAGATGGTTGTCTGATTTTTGTTTTCCCGGGCTGTCATTTTTTTTATTTGGGTGTTTTGTCCTTAATTACTGGCTTTCAGATGACAAATACTATCCAGAAGAAGTTCAAGGTTACTTCCACCCAGCTTCTGTATCAATCATCCCCATATCAGGCAGCAACCCTGCTAATCTCTGGTCCATATCTGGATAAACTTTTGACCAACCAAAATGTATTTGGTTTCAAGTACACAACACAAGTGACGGTAAGAGTTAAATAGTCTTCCCAAGTCCCAGTTTTTTGTTTTTTTGTTTTTTGTACATGTTCTCAACTGTTTCTTTGTGCATTGCAGGTCTTCATAGTTCTTTCCTGCCTTATCTCCATCTCTGTCAATTTTAGTACGTTCCTTGTTATTGGAAAGACATCTCCAGTTACCTATCAGGTTCTTGGACACCTGAAGACATGCCTTGTATTGGCATTTGGTTATATACTACTCCAAGACCCATTTAGCTGGAGAAACATACTGGGTATTTTGATAGCCATGATTGGGATGATTCTATATTCCTACTATTGCACTCTGGAGAATCAGCAAAAAGCTGTTGATGCTGCAGCACAAGCATCCCAGGTTTGTTTTAATTGGCTAACTTTGTATGTCTTGAGTTTTTGCATTGTCACGATCGTTTACTAGAAGTACATTCTGTCACCCTGTTTCTTCTAAATGTTTACAGGCAAGAGAAGGTGAATCTGATCCTCTGGTTAATGTGGAAAATGGAAGTGCAGTTATGAGTGATACTGTTGGACAAAGACAAATGTCACCTGTGTGGAGCAAGAGCAAGGACTAGTATGTTTATGGGCTTTGTTATAGGATTGTCAAGAACAGTTATAGTCCTTATAGAGGGTTAACACCCCATATCCATATGGAATTAGGAAGTGGAAGTGCTGCCAAACGCATGTCCCAGTCATTTTTCTTAGTAGCTATAGTCTATAATATTTTGAGTTCTAAAAAAAAGTGATATTTTATGAATCGTTTGCCGCCAACAATATTAGGAAGGGGAACAAGTAAATGGCCATTTCGTATTCTATTGGCCAACAAATGTCTTACAGTAGCATACATTTCCTGGTGATGTTTTCACATCATGTTACATTTATAATTTCATATAGATATTCAAACTTTTTCCTGCCTTGAATAACATATAAACATCTACCGGTAATTCCTTTTTACCCTTATTCTCTAAGTTTTTCCTATATGCATAGTTATGTACTGATTGTATTCTTATACTAAACTCAGTAATTTCATCAAATATTATTTATTGTTTTTAAAAACTGAACTTATTCGAAGCATTAGGACCATGTTACGTTATTCTTTTTCCTTTTATATTGTAATAGAAATTGAAACTCACGGGTACCTTTAGGTTAGCACCTAGGAAGGTTTCTTGTACTCGTTTTTCACCGTTGAGTCTGCCTATTTTATTGTCTACTTCAATTAAATCTATGTGTCAGATACTTTTCTGAGTAAAATGAAATGAAGCATCAGCTAATAAAACAAAGTTAATATTGTTTATCATATAAATGTTTATATAATCGAATGGGAAATACTTCTATATCTCTTTGTTAAATGATTATGATAGAACCTTGAAGAAGGCTCATCAAATATTTTCAGCCGGAAAAATTCTTGGTCTATTTTGCTGTTGGAATCTTTCTCTTGGTAAAATACTGGCTCGATACCTTATAACTTTGATCGAATAAATGGTCAAACTAGCTATTAAAATTGTATATCCCTCTTAATTTAAACATTGATTTGAATGAAACTAACAAAAGTTACAAAATGTAATTCGTCATTTGGTTCTTCTAATAAATAAGTTTTGGTTTCTCAAATAAAAGTGTATACAAGTTTATGTGGTATGCATGTAATTTATATGTGAAGTGATACATCTCATGAAAGTGTCACATAATGTATATGTACCATGTAACATATACTTATAATACAATATTATTTTAATTCTTGAAATTATAGCATAATGTAACTTTAGTCTTTGAAATTATAACTCAATGTTATTTTAATTTTTAAAATTTTAACTTGATGTTACTTTAGTCTTCAAATATTAACATAATTTTATTTTAATCAAATAATTATGACTTAAATATTTTATCAATAAAATAGATAATTTAATTAATATTGCAAATAGGATGATAAATATATTCAAATCATATTAAAATTTTGATATTTAACATTTTATCAATCATTATATATAAAATACAAACAACTATATTACTCATAACACTTTTAGGGACTTTTTTTTGAGGAGAGAATTTTCAGGTGTTCTTTTAATTTCATATTTAATTTAATTTTTATTTATCATAAATATTTCTAAATTAAATTTTATTTTAAAAAAAATTAAATTATCATTAAATAAAAATAATTTTGTACTATAATATAAATTATTTATTATAAGTATAAAATATAATTTAAAATTTTAAAATATTTATTTGTTTAATTTTATATATAATTTATGTATTCAAACATAATATTTTTTTATATATACATAATTTATTTTAAATTTTAGTTATATATAATATATATTTAACATGTGCATTGTACATACTAAAACACAAGTTCATTTTATTTTATTTTATTTTTAATTTTGAATATGTCTTCTTCTAATTTTCAAAATGTCCCTCCTTTATCCATTTTATTTTTTAAAAAACATAAATGAAAACATTTTTTAATTTCTCTATATTTATATTTTATTTTGATAATTAATTCTCTTTTATGAATTAATATTATTAGTAGATGAGGCTTAATAGTTAGTTTGTTTAAAAATGAATATTTTGTCCAACTTAATTACTATGTTGTATTAAGATGAGCAATAAAAAGAAGTATTATTAGGCATCTATGGGCACTGGAAGTGAAGAGAGGTTTCCGGCGTTTGTGAGCGGGTCACTCCCACCAAAACCACTTGATGACGGTGTGTGTGGTGTGGCCAAGGGAGGTTCTTTTATTTCCTTGCTTAACTCCTGACTTCTTTCCCCAATGAAACATCAATTGATGCAACAGATTTTTTTAATGGTTATATCAATATGAAATATGGACCCAAGTAGTCGTTATTGTATTTGTGCCAGCTAACATTCATACTCCATAAAAAAACATGTTAATGGTGTCAGCAGTCAGCTGCCGCTGCTCTGCTGTAACCCCCAAACGCTCTCATTAGCTCATCTCTAAGTCGGTTGCTTATTTGCTATATCAGCACTTATATAAGTAATTTATGTAAATTTTAAGTAATTTACACACTAAAAATGAGGTTGATGTGTGACAAATAGAATTGCTTATAAATAATCTACAGAAAATGACTTAAGAATATTTGCAATGAGTTGCTTTTGTGTCACATCAATTTTGGCTCACTTTATAAGATGTTTAAATTTTAGTAACTCATAAAGTAAATTAGAACTGATACGACAGTGATGTGACACAGGAACTTGCTTATAAACAACTTCCATTGGAGATGCTCTAACAATCTTACACATATGCGCTCTCATACAAACGCGTGTGCACTCTCTATTTTTCATTCACTATATTTACAAATATAAAATAAGTTTTTTCAATTCAAAAATATCAGTTTGAATTAGCAAGCAGTGGTTGATTCAGTGGTATATAATTTTTTGTTAAACAAATTTTTTCATATTGAATTTTATTGATATGGAATTAAGCTAACTTTGTTGATGGCAAAAAAAGAAGCATATACTTATTAAATCGACTAATATTTATTATGAGAATGAAAATTATGCGATTAATAATAGTTTATATAGTTGGCATTTATAAATCCACTAACTCCATTCTACTTCCAGTACCCTCTTCGAATCCTCACTCTAGCAGCGTTGAAAGAAGCGTCTCCAATCTCCATTCCCTTTGGCGATGGCCGCACGAGCCCTATTCAGCAGCAAAACCCTAGCCCGGGTGGTCCGCAACGACGCGGCCAAGCCTCTCGGAGTCGGCGTGGCGGCGGCGGCGGCTATGCATTCCCGCGGCTTGCACGTCTACACGCTTCCCGATCTGGATTACGACTATGGCGCGCTGGAACCAGCCATCAGCGGCGAAATCATGCAGCTCCACCACCAGAAGCACCACCAGACCTACATCACCAACTACAACAAGGCTCTCGAACAGCTTGATGCTGCGGTCGCCAAGGCCGATTCCTCTACCGTCGTTAAGCTCCAGAACGCCATCAAGTTCAACGGCGGAGGTTTGCATCCTTCTCTCTAATTTTGGACTTTCGATTTATTGGAGGATAAATTACGGTGACTGCGTGATTTGTTGATTGAATTAGAATCGATTCGTAAATAGGAAATACCGTAATAGTGGATTAATAATATATGTCGTGGATGATAAGTTAGTTGACTTTTGTTGAGATATAAAATAGAAGCAGCGGATTGGGGTTTGCTTTATACATTGCTGTGGTGCTGGTAGTAATTAGTGAAGGCATCATATCTTAGGCATTGAATTGATGCACAGATACTTAAAATTGACAATAATTCTGTGCATGAACAAAAAATTTAAAATGGACAGCATATTTTGGTTGAACTACCTATTGCCAGAACTTGTGCAACATGGATAGGGTACTTGTGTATGTGTCTGTTAAATTTTATTGTTGTTGTCATTTTGCTTGGAAACAGAAGGGGGTGGTTGACTGGTTAGTGTCTAGTGTCTAGTTTGATGAGAATGAACAGTGGGCTGTATAACTGTAGTGTGATCTGGAAGTTTTTTTACATGTTTTTCATGTTTTACTCTTTCCGAAAAATAGTGCCTGGTTTTGAAATGAATCAAACATACCTTTTAGGGATGGAGGAAGGATATAGTTTTCATGATTTTTGAAGTTGCTTAATTTTGTTTGTGCGTGACTATGAAACATTTGCAGGTCATATCAACCATTCTATTTTCTGGAAAAATCTAGCTCCTGTTCGTGTAAGTTTGTTCCTTGATCCTGTTTTATGGAATGTTTCTTGTCTTCAGTGATTCTATTACCTAATACTTCAACCCTTGTGCAGGAAGGAGGTGGTGAACCACCCAAGGGATCATTGGGATGGGCTATTGACACACATTTTGGCTCCTTTGATGCATTGATACAAAAAGTTAATGCAGAAGGTGCAGCGCTACAGGGGTCTGGATGGGTGGTGAGTTGTGCATATTCCGAAATTCCTAGAACATCTTTTCATAAGCTTAACGTGTTGGTCGTTATTTGAAATTCCTTGTATCCTTTTGCTTAATTTGTACTGCTTTGCCAGTGGCTTGGTCTAGACAAAGAGTTGAAGAGGCTTGTGGTTGAAACTACTGCCAACCAGGTATAGTATCCCTTCCACCTCCAATGCCCCTCCCCTTGTTCCATATTATGCCAAGTGGATATATAGTTCGGCAGTAGCATATTAAAATAAAAAAAAAGATGAAAGTAGTCTCTTTGTTTTGGTTTGGCTTCCAATTCTGCCTTTTTGTTTTTCTGTTGTATATCTTGTCACACCATTCAAGATTCTCTTACAGTATATTGCTTTTACCGATAGTCTATATTCCTTATCTTATTATTAATGAGATTCAACAGTCCAATATGTATTGCTTCTTCTGGCTTTTTTAGTAAATTCTGTTGACATTTCAAAGTACAGGTTATGCTATGCTTTACTATTTTAATCTGACTTTTGAGGCTGAGTTTATTTATAGGTGTAAATACATATTTAGTTCCTATAGGTTTTCTCACCTTTTTAAATTGGTTACTGAACTTCTTTTCTTATTTGGAATTGGGTCCTTAGTCCTTAAATACCAAATTAAAAAGAAGTGTAGGGACCCATTTAAAATTGAGCGACATTGTTGAAATGTGGAGGACTTCTGCAAATGTTGATGGTGTTCAGGATATAGAAAGATTGCTTGCTATAATGGAAGCTGGAGAGAAAAAACTTGTTTTAGTTTTCCTCTTTCCTCATGCTCATTTTTTTGAGATTTAGGGAATCATGTTTATGCTCTGTTCATACAAATTGTTACTGGTTCGTTTATTTTCAGATGTAATTCTGAACATTGTATTTGCAGGACCCACTGGTTACTAAGGGACCAAATTTGGTCCCATTGCTTGGTGTTGATGTATGGGAGCATGCATATTACTTGCAGGTAAGATTTTGAACTTGGTGATCCACTGGTGATAGCATGGTTGCTGTAATGACATTATTTGAAAGCTGTGTATATTTTCAGTGTGGTCATTATGACTTATGAGATGCAAATAAATGTTGAGCTATCAAATTTAGGGTCTGTTTGGGGTTAGTTTTGATTTTTGGTTTCCAAATGCAAATCTCAAAATTACGTGTTCAGTTAAAATAAAATTGAATTGGTTCTTATCTCAATTTCAAAACACTTCAAAATATAGATTTTTTTTAACAATGTAGAAAATCTGACCTTCAAACATTATTCTAAAGCTTTTATATTTATTTGCATCTTGATAGTTTATACCACTGATTGATTAGTAAATCAAAATCTGAAATAGGGCTTCTTTTCTGAACTTTGTGTGAACCTCAACTAATACTAGAGACAAGTAGGTTATGAGGCCATGATGTTCACTGAAGCTTCAGAACTTTATAATTAGTTTCTGTTATGATCTCTCACATTAATTGGGAATAAGGCCATAATGCTCCTTATAAGAGTTAGGCAATTGTCCCACCTTCTTGAGCTATTTTTTGGAATTGAATTGGGTCTATTCAATTTCTAATAGGGTATAATAATAGAAAGGCTTAATTACACGTTTAGTTCCTACCTTATGTGTGATTGTGATCTTCATAGTTTTAATAGCTCACATTTAATCCTCGTTTTTCAACTGTTCAAATCAAGTCCCTCATCCCAAAATTCCATCCAATAATTAACAGAAGTGCAAAGGTGTGGTATCATTAATATGTATTAATTAGCAAAGGAAAACATGTATAAAATATTTAAATAAAAAAATGTATAAAATCTTAACTTTTTTGTTTCTTGTTTGAATATTTTATACATGTTTTGCTTTGCTATTTTTTACAAACTGATGATATGCCATTCCTTTGCACTTGTGTTAACTATTATACAATTTTGGGGGTAAGAAACTTATTTTGATTAGTGTAGGAAGTATGATTACTATGGTTAAAGTGGAATTAATCCTATTAGAAACCATCAAGTCTTGACGTTGGGCAACCCACCGGTCCCACTGAGGTCTAGTCTGGCAAACATCATACTCTAGATGCGTCTAGTCTTAAGCATATGTTAAGATGTTCCACACGGTTAATTGTATGGGCAAAATACTCCTTATAAGACTTGGACAATTCCCCCTAGTTAGCTTTTTAGATAAGTAGGTTTGGTCCTTTTGTAACACTTCCATTTATTTTAAATAATGAAAAATTTGGGGTATATTCAAAAAAATATATTTTATTTTTGCCTAGAATAGTTACATATCTTTGACAGGGGACAGCTTACTTGAAACGAAAATGTAAATCAACAGCTTAATTAAGCTTATAATTTTAAAGATTCAGGTCAATGATACTTGCAACTTACAATAGAGTATTCATTTTTATTACTCTGTTGGTTAGAAGTTGGAATTTACACATTTCCCCGTCCACCTTTCAAGAGAATATTCACCCAAGTTCTGGAAATATATGTCTCATTTTTCATCGCTTACATATGTTGAAAGTCATGGTGCTATTATTTGGCAATCCGAAGAAAGGAAACACGGGCTACACTTTTTCTGATATTCCTAGATGCACATATGTTGTGAAAATAATTTCTGATGTTTGCTTTTGTTTTTCTTATTGCAGTACAAGAATGTTAGACCAGACTATCTGAAGAACATTTGGAAAGTTATTAATTGGAAATATGCCAGTGAAGTGTATGAGAAAGAGAGCTCTTAAGTGCTACTTGATATAGTACTTGAGGCGACAGATTTGCAGCTCGGTAAGAAATGGAATAAAATGATGTGATGTAATAGATAACACCAACTATTTATGTAGTTGTACTGAAGAATCTCGAGCATTATATGGCTGCATTTCTTGTAATTGTCATGTCTTATGGATTTTCTGATGTTCTGTTAAGATACTATTCGTGTCCAGTGATGTATACCTTTTGCTTCTAGGGTGTGATCCTTTTATTCGAATAAGTAGTAGAATTCTGAAATTCAAGCCAGATATAGTTTCATCAAGTTGGATGAACGAGTCGGAGTTGTTATCCAATGTATAGTTAGGGTTATTTACGGTATTAAAAAATCTTTAGAAGTAGAACAATTTTTTTTTTCTTTTCAAAATAATTAGTCCAAATACATAGTTTAACCTTCAGCACGTAGACAATAAATTATTTGTTGTGAGTAATTAAACCCGCCTTATAGCCTATTTGGTTAAGAACTCGATAGTTAATCGATTTTTAATAGCACAATGATAATAGCGTGTTTGGGTACGTAGAAAAACATGATTTTTTTAATGAACTATACGAATCTAAAATTATTTCTATTGACGAAAGAAATTAAATTACCACAAAGGGTTTGTGTTTTGAAAGAGAAAACACAATTATTACTAAGAAGAATAGTAGCAGCACTTTTTTTTAATGATATTTATTAGAAATTACGAATTTTGTGGGTATTCTAGTTTATTTAATGAGTCTCTTTTTTGAATTAATGTTATAATCTTCTGAAATTTGTGATTTTAAAACAATATTAGAAAGTGTTAGGAAAAAAAAAAGAGAGGGTTAAAAGTGTTGCTAGTAATTTTATTATTATTATTATTATTATTATTATTATTAATGAAGTAAGGCTGGAATGGTTTTGCACTTTCAGCCTAAAAGATTACGATTTTTAATCTACATTGTGCTTGAAATATGCCCTTTTGTTGATCAAAATGCTTTGCCTGAAATTATAGTTACACCACTTAAACATTTTTTCTCCCCGGTGCAGTGTATTTGCTATGTGCATTTGTAAAGAAAAGTATAAAATTTTCACCATGTAAATATATGAAAGAAAATCAACCCCCTAAAAGTGACAGGTTAGGGGTAGATTAAACTTACTTTCTCATGAACTTCTATCTTTTTTTACCCTCTCTTGGCACTATAACAATATTCCTACATTTGAAGTATTAGGATTATGCAAAGTGCTTTAAAGCAAGTTTCACATGGAATCAATTTTTTTACGGATCAATTTTTCACCCAGAATGATTATAATCAAGCATATTTATCATTTATCATCTCCCACAATAGAAGTTAAAACAAATAACAATTTTTTTTTAAATGTTTGTACTAAGTAAAATGTTAAGATGCGTCTTGAATTTATTTATCCTTAAATTATAAATTAAAATACAAAATTTAGAGAGTAAATTTTTTATTCACTATAAAGTTAAAAGAATTTTTAAAAACTCTCTTTACAAATAAAAACTCATAAAAACATTCTCACGTAAAATATTCATTCTTTCATTATATATAAGGGTTGATTTTGTCTATAATAAAAGTGAAAATTATTTAAATTTTATATATAATAAAATCACAAAGATCTTTTTATAATTTTTATGCCAAAATATAATATAAATATTAATTTCAAAGTAATGAATAGTTATTATTTTTATTGATAGTGTTATAATTATTGTCATTTTTATATTTTACTAGTATATTAGTCTATGGTTATTATATGCGACAAAAATTTGTAATAAATTATATAGACAAATAAATACTATATTTAAACATATGGATTATTTTTAAACTTTACATAAATAGATATTTTTAAATATATAAATTATACTTTAAATCTATTATAAATTATTTGTATTACAATATAATATTATTTTTAATTATTAATAATTTATATTAAAATATGAAAATTTAATTCATAAGAAAATATAATAAATAAAAATTTGAATTATATAGAAAGTTAAAAAAATTTCTAAAAACACTCTCATAAAAAAATAATTCCTAAAACAATATAATTTTTGTGTTTAATATCGAGATTAAATGTTAATTTATTTCATAAATAATTTTAATAAATAAAAAAATAAATTAAATTTTATAAAAGATAGTCGCATTTAATATACAGGACATTGATTATATTATTTTCAGTTATTTATAAATACATTATTTTAATAAGAAGAATGTTTTTATTTATATTTTGTTACTTTTTATAATAATATTTTTTTACTTCGATTATTATTAAAAAAATGAATTCATTGTATATAAGGATTTATAATACGTAATCGGATATATAAAAAATATTTACACGGTAAGTAAAATATTTATAATGTAAAAAAAAAAAAAAAAAAAAAAAA